GGAAGGCCATATCCATAACCAGCCTGAATTGAAACACTCGATGGAGCCTTAACTACTCCAATACAAAAAGTATGAATACTTTAATACGATGGAAACTCACCAGCGGTGCCTGTGTACCATCTCTCGGTGGAGGTGGAGCAGTGCTATACATGTAATTGAACAACCGCTCCACTATAGTGCGAGAAACACCACCACCGCGGTCGCAAATCTGGAAGCGAATAATGGCTAAGACTCCGTTTCTCGACTGATCAAGAAGAATCGGATCAATAAACAAAAACAAATAGTACCTTGATAGACAGGTCTGCTTGACCTCTGACCACGAAAACTTTGATGTCAGGAAGATCGTCATCGACACCATGATGCTCAACTGTGGCGCGCATGGCGTTCTACAGATGAAACAAACACAATATAACAAAATATTGATGTAATTCCCCATGATGACATACCTTTAGTAATTCGAACATTATATGATATAGGTGACTCGGTACAGCAACAATACTTATAGGTCGGTCCTTTTCAACAGCATTATGCATCTCGAGTTTCATCGAAGGGCTCGTGAGATAGTAACGGTCGCAAAGAAATCTAAAAATAAAGTAAAATAGTACTGTTATCAAACCTCTATAAGTGATAAGAACATCTATCACAAACCAATTCGCAAGTGCAGTTATAGTGCATAAGGGCACTAGCAATGCCGGGAGCTTGCATAATAGCAAAGCACGGTCAGCGCATTGCACAGCTAGTCAACAAAAATCGGCGCATTGTGCACTCTCCTGTTTTGCCGGATTATTCGAAGAGCACTCAACGCAATTGAGTATGACCCAAACGCAAAGCTTTTGGCACGCCATTATGCCACTAGAACACCCACAATTTCGTGGAATGAGCTACGCAGCAGGGATGACCGGTCCAAGTAGCAAAGATTGTCATGAGTAACCACTTATTGCATAGGATCACCCAATAAGGACACTACATTTTCAACTGTGCACCGTTTTTGACTAAATGGAGCAACGAGAAGAAATGATAGTGGGCTCACCTTGCATTTTCAAAAGCATCATGAACGACGCCTTCGACATCGCATGCAGGATCAATGCAACCGACGTGCCTTGGGCTTTCCGGTAGAACATTTCCGAATACGACCTTAACGATGTAATAGCACCATTTGAAAGAAGTCTAAGCAATAAAACTCTTAAAGAAATAGAGCAAGCTATATCTAATAGGTACCCCAATTGGCTTCAAATAGAGCCATCTTATCAATGACATCGAAACCATAATGCGGGACGTTCTATTCGTTATTCAAAATATTAATTACGTCTTCCATCTTTCTAACAAAAAAAAATGAAATCGCTCAAATGAGAGCTCCGGAGTGGCAAAACAGTATACGAAGAGTTCTACATGACGGCGGGATGTCAACTGGCGTCCTACCCATATTGCTTTTTTTTATCATCGATGACCCCGAATGCACCAGAAATGTTCTACAGGACTGAATAACAAACTATCGACAGAGGTAAACGGGCTTTGCACTGCGGAACCTTCAAAAAAGAAAACTCGTCAGGATCAGTGAGGTCAACAAATCGCGCCGGTGTGTCAAGCGAGACGGGCAACACTTCAAAGCGTCTCGAATTACATCAGACTTTCAAGAAAAAGTCAAGTGCGTCACAATGTCAAACGCATCAATGATTTCGCGGAAATTGTAGTGAAGAGCGGTAGTTCGCTATGACTGAACACCGAGTGATTACCACAAAACCGGTCACTCTGTTCAGTAACAAGCGAAACCTGAGTTCCACAATATACTCAGTAAAGATAACATTGATTTGGAGGGGGTG